CCCCCACTCCGGTGACTGTCAGCGCTCTACAATTAAGAGTCTGTTTCTTGATTGGTCTGACCGTCTCTCTTTTTAACTTTTGCCCATTTGTTTTGTTTCTTAAATTCCACATTTGGGTAAAACCACGTTGTGTTTGTCTTTCTCTGATGTATTTCACTTAGCCGTAATACCCTCTCAATCCATCCACGTTTTTGCAAATGGCAAGATTTCATTCTCCTTTAAGTTCTTTTTTTAATGTTTATTCTTTTTTGAGATAGAGCACGAGCAGGGGAGGGGGTGAGAGGGAGGGAGAGGGAGGAGGCAGGAGACACAGAATCCAAAGTAGGCTCCAGGCTCTGACCGGTCAGCGCGGAGACGAATGCGGGGCTCGAACTCGCAAACCGTGAGATGGTGACCTGAGCCACACAGGCACCTCTCATTTTTTTTTTATGGCTGAGTAATATTCCATTAGAGACCCATGCACACGCACGCACACACAACGTATCTTCTTTTTCTACTCATCAGTCATTGGCCACTTGGCCACGTTGGCTACTTGCTTCCATAAAAATTTGGCTATTGGGAATAATGCTGCTGTAAACGTTGTGGGGCCTGTATCCCTTTTTGATTAGATGCTAAATGTTCTGAACGGAGAAGGCAGAACAGGAAATGGATCACCGCGCTCATTTCAAAGCTTGGTCGTTCCCAGCAAAGATTGCCTGGTCTTCGGGGTAACGACTCTTGTAACAGAGATAGCAAGGGCAGCGAAGAGTCCTGTGCACACAGTGTGGCCTTTCACTTGAGACCAACTCTTGTCTGAAGAGAAGTAGCATAGACTAAAAGCAAGATGTGAAGCAGCCTTGTGTGGAATGTCCCATCAGTATTCCCTTGTGTCCGTGACTCTCACCTCCTGAGCAACTCACATGTAAAGCGCGAGTATCTCGCATCTAAGAGGATCAAAGTGCCGCCTTCCTTCTGTTTTGTGACGTGTGGGTTTTGTATAGTTTTATGGGAGGCTTCTTTTTTTTTTTTTTATCACTCGTTTGCTTTTCATAAAAATTGGGATTGTTTGGAGGAAGAGTCATTAATATTCTTTACAGCTCGCTCTTGTTCCTCCTTTTATGTCCGTTGCTAGTGCAGACTTCTCTCTTATGTAAAATATTCCACCGATGCCCTTGGTAGATTTAGAGGTTGTTAAAGAAATCGTAATAACAGCTCAGGGAACAGCCAGGAACTGCCTGTCCTATACTGTCTGACCCTGGCTGGCCATTCTCCTTGTGGTTTTAAAGTCTCTGTGTACACACTAATGCACAACACAGTTTGGGTCAATTTAAATTTAGCAAATCTTCCCAAACGCAAGCATTTCACAATCAGGGCCAGAAGCGTTGGGTTGTGAGTGATGAACTCTTCACAGTGGTAGTGTTATTGAAACGGTTGTTTGGATTTATGAAGGGGATATTTTACTAATGGCACACCATATGAAACTTGTAAAAAATCCTTGCTTTGTCCTCGTGTTGTCCCCAAATTTACCTTCTTCTGTCCGTGACAATGTCTGGAAATTCTGTTCATGCATGGGAATGTATTCAACATTTATATATTTAGTTATTATTTTTCTGTTTTTAATGTTTATTTACTTTGGGGGGAGAGAAAGAGAGAGAGACAGAGGCGCAAGCGGAGGAGGGGCAGAGAGAGAGGGAGACACGGAATCCGAAGCAGGCTCCAGGCCCCGAACAAACAGCGCACAGCCCGACGCGGGGCTCGAACTCACAAGCCATGAGATCATGACCTGAGCCGAAGTCGGACGCTCAACCGACTGAGCCACCCAGGCACCCCTGGTTATTATTTTTCTTATAAATGGGCAGGACCTGTCCTAAATAAAATCACAGCACACGTGCATGCACGTATACACGCACGTGTGCACGTGCACATACACATTCTCTGAAACCAACTGATTGGGATAATTATTTGCCACGAATAAATACATTTCTGCTGCTGTTTATCCTGGAAGACATTGCCTAGGGTTGTCTCTTTGAGAAGCAGCTTGATTTCAGATCTGAGGCTATGATTTTAGCAGGTTCCCTCAGGACTTCTAGTTCGGTTTTGTTTTTTGTTGTTGTTGTTTTTTTTTTTTTTTTTTTAGTCCTTTTTCTTTCCTCTGGGGACAATGTATTGACCAATGTGGTTTTCATCTCCCACTTAATAGCGGAACAGGCTTCTCCTGGCTTCTCCAGTTCTGTGTTGTAGAGGACGGCTCCCTCCTCGCTGGATGCCCCACAGGGCTCCAGGGATGTCTGGTGCTTACTTAACACTAGGGCCCCGTGTTGGTTTCTGAATTTTGCCACGTGACCCGCGCTCATGTGAGATGTGAACATTCGGGCAGGGTTTTGGGCGGGCCCGGATAATTCTTAGTTGGAGGGCCTGTCCTGTGCATTGTCGGCCGAATATTTAGCAGGACCCCAGCCCCTCTCTGCCAGACACCAGTAACATCCCTCCCCCCCGGTGACAACCAGAAATGTCGCCAGACGTTGTCACATGTCCTCTGGGACGCGGAACCGTCCCTCCCTGAGAACCAATGACCTCTCGAGCATGGCTCCCTGCCTTTGAGTTTCCCTGCAGACCTGGTTTCCAGTGTGAAGTTTGTATATTCCTGTATTTTAGGCCAGATCATTCTAAACCTGTCCTCCATATTTACAAAGAGACTTTTAGCCTTTTGGTGTACGATGTAATAAGAGACAGACCCACAGAGGCACTTACTTTAGGAAGCATTTAAAAGTCAACTTGAGCCAGTTGGAGAATGTTCTTCCTCTATCTTCTCCTCCTTAGACAGCCCTTCTGGGTTTAATTTTGTTACTCTTTCTGTCAGGGTGACTCGGCAGTTTTTTGTTTTGTTTTGTTTTGTTTTTTAATTCTAACCTCATTCACATACCCTAATCCTTCCTTTTTTTAATTGTGGTCACACTGCAGCTTAATTCCTGTCCCCTCGTTCAACTCCGTTCGATTCTGCAAGCTTGGATGGAGGGGATGGAAGCCTAGTTCCTGTCTTTAGGTTTAGACATGTATTGTTTTTAGGTTGTTAATTCTTTTTTTTTTTTTTTTTTTGAATCATCTGAGAACCACTGGGTAGTCTCTTGCATAACATTGACTTCCCTTTCTACAGTTTTTCAGTTTGTTAAGCACTGTCATGTTTTTTTCAAAAACCTCGAAGTTGAGATGCTCACTGTCCGCTCTTAAAAGTACAGTGTAGGGGCGCCTGGGTGGCTCAGTCGGTTGAGCGTCCGACTTCGGCTCAGGTCACGATCTCGCGGTCCGTGAGTTCGAGCCCCGCCTCAGGCTCTGGGCTGATGGCTCAGAGCCTGGAGCCCACTTCCGATTCTGTGTCTCCCTCTCTCTCTGCCCCTCCCCCGTTCATGCTCTGTCTTTCTCTGTCTCAAAAATAAACATAAACATTAAAAAAAAAAAATTAAAAAAAAAAAAAGTACAGTGTATGTGTTTGTGGTAGCTGGGGTGTTGGGCATGCTGAGAAATATTCCCATCCCGTTTCCTTTGCAGCCACGAACTAATACTGTTATCCCAATAGAAAAATGAGCGTTCAGATTGACTCCGTGGCAGCCACTTAGGGCCTGGTCCTTTGGTGCCGAAGGGTTTACGGAAAGTATAACATGCGAGAAACTCCAAAGTTATTCTGAACCCCGGCAAATCCCCCTAACTCCAAACTTTCCATGTGAGGAAGTGGCGTTTCAGGGAGAGAGGGCAAGGTCATCCTTGATACCGAGAGAAACGATCGGAGGCCTATATGTAGGCCAGCAAATAATGACACCTAAAAGGATGATTTCAACTCGGTACAATCATACCTGCCCTTTGTCCTCAACAGCTTCCTCTTCGGCCAATCTGCCCTTATTTATTTTTTCTAGAAGGCCAAAACGTCATTTTAGCTGGGGTTTAGTTTTAGTTCTGTCAGATCTTTATGGAAGCTTTGCCTGGTTTTTAATTGTTTCCTTCTTTATTGCCAAACAAAAGGAGAGGGAGTATACCACCAGGATACAGGATGGTTTGTAGTAAAAATGAAAGATCGAAACAGAAAGAGAATGTGAATCCCTGTATCTCGTCTTCGGTGCTGTCAGTTGGCAGCGGTGAGCAGTTTTAAAAGAGCCAAAATGATGGATCTCCCATCCTGGGAGCTAGAAAGAACCTTGAGGATTTCCAGCCTTTAAACACAAGAGAATCTATAGTATTTTGAAAAGGCAGAACATTCTCTAGCTTCCCTTGGTAATTCACACTAATGCTTTAACAACTTTCTGCTTCAGGAAATTCTGTATGAGTTACAGCCTAAATCGTTCGTGCTGCTTAAGCCTGTTTCTTGTTGTTCTGTCCTCAGTGGAGGGATCGAACAGCTGGTCGCAGGCCCCTATGCAAGAGCCATTCACATAATTGAAAACTGTTATTAACTCGCCCCTTCAGCCACTCTTTCTGGCACATTCTCTTTTTTTGTTCTTGGCTAAATAATCCCAATTCCCTTAAACTGTTCTCATAGGTCTTTCAAACCCTTTAATTATCCTTGTGCCTTTCTGCCAAGCCTTGTCTAAGTTCTGGGTCAGCTGTAGCCACCAGAACTCGACAGCATTTTCTAAGAAGGGTTTGAACAGTTCTGAGGGTAATGAGACCCACTTCCTCACGCTGTACTTGCTTTGCCTTTAGTTATACGTCGTGGTCATGGTGTTTCTTGCTTTCTTTTTTACTGTTTTACACCTGCATTTGTTGCTGACTCACGTTCAGAGTTTTACTTGCCGTCTTCTGCAATGAATAGGAGCTTTCTGTGCTTATCACACTCCCTGCATTAAGCGTGAAGTTTTCCTCCGTAGCACGTCTTTTAATCCACCAGTGAACACACGATCATTTAAAACCGAGTCGGAAAAAAATATCTTAGGGTCAGCTTAAGCAACAGTAAATCCACGTTTTCAGGAGGAATGAATTACTGCTGCTCGCCATTGTACTGGCTGTCTGTACTGGTTTGTCTCCAAGCTAGGAAGGGTTTATTTTGATAAAGTTCGTTTCTAGACCAGTGGAGCAAGAGATGGTTAGAGGACGTGTTGCAGCTGAAACTTGTAGCTCCTTTGACAGAGTCTCTCATTGTGCTTTTGTGTACAAGGTGGAAA